AGAAAGTAGTGACGCGGTCAAAACTTGATCAAGAGGCCATCAGAATCTTGCGAGAGAAAACGGTGAGAGTTAACGTGGTGTCATGCGTTATGTGACACCTCTCCTTCGCATACAACACATGCCAACTCCGCACATGCCAAAAGAAGCTGTTCTGCCGCAGCTAAGAAGCATTGAGCGAAAGCTGATGAAGAACCCTGATCAGGCCTGTGCTTACAAAACTGAGATTGAGAGATTCAAGAATGCTAGCTATGTAGAGAAACTGCAAACATGCGAGGATATGGCTAAGTTCACACTACATGACTTTAAACGTCGGCAAATCGCTGTGCTGTTCAGACTACATGACTTGATTGTCTGTCTTTAAGTCGTTGTGGTGTTCACACTACGTGACTTTATGTAAATGATCCGCAACCGGGGGTTACACACTACACAAGCTGACAACAACTCTGACACCCAACGACTCTACAAACCACGTTTTGAAACACGAAAACACACGAGAATTGGAATGGGAATCACGTGAAACAGGAGTTGTTTATTTGAAAATGGATGTCGGGAAGAAATTAGCGCTGCAAGCTGTTTTCTCGATGAAAATACACATAACACATAAACACAAAAAGATTGCCGAGCGCCGATCACCCGCCGATTTTCCCCCAATCACAGCCCGACCTGTTGGCGAGCTTGTTAACTTGCAAATCGGGCTTAAAATCCTGTAGTGTGAACTTGGCATATCTGGACCGGTCGGCCGATTCGACATCACGTGGTGTCAGGTGTTGTGACGAGCTACAGCCAGTGAGAGAACAAGGCATAGGTTGAGGTCACCGGAAGAAAAACAACAGCAGCAACATGGCTTAAAGAAAAGTTTGGACACAATAAATGGCGCAACATTTTTCATCGAGCAAACAGCTTGCAGCGCTAATTTCTTCCCGACATCCATTTTCAAATAAACAACTGTTTTACGTGTTGTTTCACGTCATTCCCGTTCCAATTCTCACGTGTGTTTTCGTGACAAAACGTGGTTTGTAGAGTCGTTGGGTGACAGAGTTGTTGTCAGCTTGTGTAGTGTGTAACCCCCGGTTGCGGATCATTTACATAGAGTCACGTAGTGTGAACACCACAACGACTTAAAGACAGACAATCAAGTCATGTAGTCTGAACAGCACAGCGATCTGCCGACGTTTTAAGTCGTGTAGTGTGAACTTAGCTTTAAGTCATTGTAAAAAAGTTTTCACCCCCTCAATGAAAGTCTATGGGATTTTAGGTGTTTTTGATAGTCTAGTTTACGAAAACTGTAAGCCGGATCAGTTAGAAAAGATATAGCAACCCGAGTCAGACCAGTCTGAAGGTCTGACCCGAGTTTGGTGGTTGTAGCTTTAAAAGTCTAGGAGGAGATACATTTTAAAATTTAGTCTCAGAAGAAGTTGTTTAAATAGGATTTCAAGCCAACTAAATAAAGTATAATACTCTTTATTCACTCATAAATTACTTAGCTTTTAATTAATCAATTAATGAAACAAATTGAGTAAATAAATGTGTCAATGACTTACTCATAACACAGACACTAGTTACATATACACTACGTACTGTCTTGTGTAGTGTAACAAATTTAGAGGCTAGTTTGTAATTAATGGTGTGACCATTAAGTGCATAAAGTGTCTAACATTGCACACTGTTTTTTCTGATAATTACGTGCATCATCTGGGTATCTGAAGTGCACTTCTTCTGGATTGGAATATTCAGTGTGAGCCCACTACTCGCATTTCAACAGCTCCAAACTAAATGATATATTCACACTGAAATGCAAGAGATTCAAACATTTATTCAATTTCAAACTACAAAGTTGATCTTGTTAAGGCACATTAAGTATATCACATAAACGATTATGCAAAAAATGGAGATGGATTTGAATCAAATAAGCAACTCCAAATCAGCACATACCACACCAAAAAAAAAAAAATTCAATCCACATATAGCAGTGAAGCTGTACACAATATTAAAGATTTAACTATAAACAATAACCAGTTTTCATACTGAAAGATATACAGATACATTACAAAATGAACAGAAATTACCTGGTAATGTGTAATACAGTGAAGATGTCACACTGACACACACACACACAAAAAAAACAAGTCAGCCATTTGAATGACATTTGACAAAGGACGTGTTTGAATAATATATGAAATGTTGAAATATTTGGTTTAAGTTGACAAGGGATTAATAAAATTTACTGAATAAAAATAATGTAGCAAAAAACATGACGTTATCAAAATTAGGAATATTCTAGCACAATAATCCAATCTGCAAAACTGCTTTGAAATTATGTTTATTGTATAAATGCTATACAAATTATACAAATAACTTGACTTAACTGTGCTCACAATGCAGCAAATAGCATATAACAAATGTAACAAAGTGAAAGAACAGCAACTACTAAACTTGATGTCTTTCAGTGTTTCTGTGATGTCTGAAGGGAACACATTCACTCAAGTACACTGTCATGATAAACATCCCCCTACATCCTGTTACATACAAGCAGGCCCGTAACCTAGTCCGGACCTCGCAAAATTTTTCATGTTCAAAAATAAAATTTGTTCTTTGAATGACTAATTTGCTGTAAAACTCCTCATATGAATGCCTGCATGACATGTATAATTCAGTTTAGACAGTTTGCAAGAATATTTAGCATCCCTGTTATGAAAATGATTGCTGCGAGACGCTGGTGGAGTGAACAAGGCTTGAGAGAGTTGTGAGTGAGGGCGCGGGCGCAGATCCAGCTATTATAAGCGTGTTTGGACTTGTCTTTTCCACTTAATTTTACACTTTAGAAAGTTAATAAAGTAGGAAGTTGCAGTTTAGAGTCAGCTATATCTTTATATTATCTTATTTGCAAAAGATTGGAAATTTCGGTTTATTTTTATTTGTTTGTTTTAGTATCAATATCTGGCAACACTGCATCGCCGGCACTTAAACTGA